AACAGAATGGTTCCCAATTAGCAAAGGAGTCAGACAAGGCTGCATCCTCTCATGCTATCTGTTCAACTTGTATGCAGAACATACTATATAAAGAGCAGACTTGGACGCAAGGAGGAGGAGTGAATACAGGAGGAAGGAATATCTGTAATCTGAGATATGCAGATGGCACCTGATATATTTGTGTAGTGTAAAAGAGCACCTGATGGGCTCAGAGGACTGAGGGGAGGGGAGTTCAAACCCCCATTTTCTGGGCTGCATCCTCACTGCAGATATAATCCAGTTTGACGCCACTTACCTGCTATGATTCAATGCTATGGAATTCTGGGAATTGTAGTTTGTTGTGGCACCAAACAGGGGTCAAACTGGATTATTTCTGCAGTGTGGATGCAGCCTTGGAGTCCCAGTCAAACCATTAGGCTCACCACTGCATTATTTCTGCAGTGCAGGTATCAAACTGCATTATTTCTGCAGTGCAGGTTCAGCTTTAGTTTGGCAATAAGAACAACATAACTCTGCCAAGATACTGTCACTGTAATCCCATTATCTTGTTGGAAGAGCTTTAGTGGGAGATGGCAAAGGCTTCAGAAATAACCATGAAATCTAGTTTAGAGTAAAACAAACAAACAAAAATACTCCCTCTCAGTCTACTTTCTCCTTATCAGAATACAGTTTCACCTCTAGTTGGCTATGCTCATGGAAGGTTACTACTGTGTTGACTTTAGCTGATAATAAAGGTGCTGCCTACTGGCTTTTAGATATTATTATTATTATTATTATTATTATTATTATTATTATTATTATTATTATTATTATCATTATCATCATGCTTTCCCTCCAAAATTGAGTTTCAGGGCATTTTACAGTTTAAAAGAATAGTATAATTAAAAACATACAAGAGGTCCTGGCTACATTAAAAGAGTAATGAAAGAGGTAAGGGAGTGCTTTGTTACCAGATGAGATGACTTTTAAATTCTCCATGAGTAATTTTCAGAATTATTTAGAACCAGAAACTGAAATGCAAGGTTGTTCATTTCTAAAGTACTTTTAGCCTAGAAACCTATGTATATTTAATTGGACATGTCCCACTGAACTCTCCTGAGGAAGCGTATGTTCCATGACGCTATTATAGTACAATCTGACCATGATTTTGTCCTTGAACAAAAAGACTACAAAGGAAGATTGGAAAGAGAAGTAGCAGAATTGGAGTATATCAACAAACTGTGGTCCATCTGCAGTGGGTTGGACAGAGACAATGGTTTTCTGGCACACTACACACATTATAACATCAGCTAACCCCCCAGACTCATGGAAGTTTCTCTTCAGTTTATCACCTTCTTTTTGACTCCCACACTACATCTCATTCATACAGTCATTTACTAACCTTGGCTTTAGGCAACATCCTTCATCCTGCCTTGCCCCCCAATGACCATCCATTAAAACTGAACTTGTCACCTCATCTTGTTGTGTGGCTCCAAGTCATTTTTAGCAACCCTAAGACAACCCTATTCTTGGCGAGATTTATTCAGAGGAGGTTTGGCATTGCCATTCCCTGAGGCTGAAAAAGTGTGACTTGCCCAAAGTCATCCAGTGGGTTTTCATGGCTGAAACAGGATTCAAAACCTGGTCTCCACAGTTATAGTCCAATGCACAATATACCATGCTGGCTCTCCTTCGCCTCATCTCCACACCCACAATGTTCTCCATTCCTATGGACATTCTCACACACAACTGCTATATAGATCTGTCCCTGGGTTTCCACTCCGCCAAATGCATCTGAGGAAGTAGGTTCAAGTCTATGAAAGTTCATGTGACCAACTTCTGTCTTCTAGTTAGTCTCAAAGATGCTGCAAGAACCCTTTGCACGTAAGTCAGAGGTTTTGCTGATAATTTTGGTAAGCACACTTCAGATTCTGAGTGCCTCATCTGAGGAAGCAGGTTGCAGTCTACGAACATGTATGCTACCAACTTCTTTCTGTCTCTCTGGGCCTTTGCAGACTGCCAGAAATAGTGCACATTAAATTGAGGCACTGCCCTGGCTCAGTGCTAGGGAATCATGGGAACTGTAATTTATTGTGGCACCAGAGCTCTCTGACAGAGAAGGCTCAATGTCTCAGAAAAAAATATAATTCCCATGATCCCCTAGCACTAAGCCAGGGCAGTGCCTCAATTTAATGTGCACTATTTCTGGCAGTCTGCAAAGGCCCTCTGTTAGTCTCAAAAGTGCTACAAAATCCCTTTGCATACTGATCCAGATGACACGGCTATGTCTTTGAATTCTGGCTCATTGGCTTACAGTTTCGATTGACCCAAATTCTGAACAAGAATCTGCATTTTGATTCATTTTATTTTGTTGGGTGTTCTTCCAAAAAAAAAAAAAACAACTAAAGTTCTATCAAATCCTTCAAGCTCAGATGTCTTGAAAACCAAATCAACTTACTGCCTAGGGCTTTGCAGATCTAATGAAGCCAGTTATTTAACAAAGATGAAGAATTTGCAAAAAGAAAGCAGTATTTATATTGTGAGGAAGCCACCTGCTAAAACTACACAACAATCTGCTTACTTTTAGGAGTATTTTTTTTCTTGTGAGTACATGGAAATTATGGAATGTCTGCTATCTTCGTATTTCCCTCCCTGCTGTGAAAAATAGATCTGGTTCTAGATCAAACCACAGATATATAGGTTGTAAGTATTTGTGCCATGTATAAACCTAGTATAAATCCCAACAATTCAGGTGAAATATAATTGTATAAGGCAGTACGTACTTCTCAAGCCATCTGATACAGAGGACTAACATTTTTAAAAATTGTCCCAGGAATCTGTACCATTTTTGTGCCATATTAATCAGAGAACCAGTGTGGTATAGTGGTTTGAATATTTGACTAGGACATCTGGAGACCAGGGTTCGAATCCCTGCTCAGCTGTGGAATCCCACCAGGTGACCTTAACCTAGTCATATTCAGGACCATGCAACAAAATACACGCAGCCCTTCAAATGTAGTGGGACTCCAACATCTATCAGTCATTCCAGCATAGCAAGTGGTGTGGAAGGCTGGCAATTGCAGTAGGCCACATGTTTCTCACTTCTACTCTAGGTTTTCCATACTGTAATATGTTCCCCTTTTTAAAATGTGAAAACTTCAGGTGAGAATTTGTATTATCAACCACTATATTTATGGGAAATGTTAGTGCAGCAGCCATGGACATCCATGGGGTAGAGCAAGGGAGTAGGTGCTCATTCATTCAATAAGCCATAATCTCCTGATTGCCAGATTTCACTTTTAAAAAATAAAATCTCTAGTCATTGTAGAAGTTGATATATGAGGTTATAGTATGCAAAAGAAAATCAGCATTTGTTTTACAGACTATGGCATAGATCACAAAAAGTTATGTAATGCTCTTAAAGACATGGGTGTGCCACTACATTTGATAGTCCTGCTGAGAAATCTGCATTTAGGACAAGAGGCCACTGTTAGAACAGAATATGGAAAAACAGAATGGTTCCTAACTAAAAAGGAGTTAGGCAAGACTGCATTTTATCACCCTACTTGTTCAACTTATATAGAGAAAATATCATACGAAGAGCAGGTTTAGACTCAGAAGGAGGAGCAGTAAAGATAGGAGGAAGGAACATCAACAAGATGGAAAGAAGAACAATGTTTGAAAGTAAGAGAGTGGATATGGAAAATGTTGGATTATATAGATAGATTAACCAATTTGATTAGAAATAAATCACTACAGATATTTAAAAAAGAACAGATGGAAGTGGTAGAACTACTGAAAGGAATATTAGCTAGTTAAAAGAAGGAAATTAGGAAGAAAAAGTTCTGTAAGGAAAAGAAAGAGAAGTCTGCAAGCAAATAAGGCCTAGTAAAGAGAGAGAAAGAAAGAAGACGGAAAGAAAAAAGAGGCAAAGATAAATAAATGTATTGGTAAAGAATAGAGCTTTAGGAAGTAACTTTTATTTGTAAAGTAAGAAAGAGAACGTAATGTTAATGTAATTGATGTCAATGTCTTGGTTTTGTTAAAGGAATGCATGGGATGGGTAGATTGTTTTTCCTTTTTTAAAATTGTCATATGTGGTGAAAATCATACTAAATAATAATAATACTAATACTACTACTACTAATAATAATAAACAATCTAAGACATGCAATTAACACTATACTACTAGCAGAAAACATCACAGACTTGGAACAATTACTAAGGAAAGTCAAAGAAAAAAGTGCAAAGGCAAGCTTACTGTTGAACATTAAAAAAACCAAAAATAAAGACCATGGAGGATCTACATAAATTCAGTCTAGACAATGAGGAAATTGAAATAATTAAATATTTCCCATACCTTGGATCAAACATTGATCAGAATAGAGATTGTAGTCAGGAAATCAGAAGAAGACTAGGACTGGAAAGGGCAGCTATGAAAGAACTAGAAAAGATCCTAAAGCGCAAAGATAAACAACTGACTTAAAATCATCCAGTCCAGGGGTAGGCAACCTTTTTGAGCCGGGGGCCGGGTTGCTGTCCCTCAGACAACTGGGGGGCCGAAGAACCAAAAATAAATAAATAAATAAATAATAAAAATAAAATTAAAAAAAATATGCATGCACACTCTCTCAGCCCCAGAAAAGCCATGGCAAAACCCCTGTGGAGATTTTGCTAAGAGAACCCCAAGAACAAGTAATAACAACAATCATCAATATCATCATGGTGGGCGGTGGTGGCGGCAGTGGCAGGACCGGCCTGGGGCTGGTCCAAAGGCCTTGGGGGGCCACATCTGGCCCCTGGGCCTTAGGTTGCCTACCCCTGCTCCAGAGACTAGGACACGGAGCCATGGATGGAAACTGCAGGAAAAGAGTTTCCACCTAAGCATTAGGAAAAACTTCCTGAAGGTAAGAGCTGTTTGACTGTGGAATAGGCTTCCTCTGAGTGTAGTAGAGGTTCCTCCTTTGGTCTTTTTTAAACAGTGGCCATCTGTAATGGGTGCTTTGACTGTGTATTCCTGCATGGCAGAAGGGGGTTGAACTGGATGGCCCTTGGGGTCTCCTTCAGCTCTATGATTCTATGAAATAACTTGAAGGCACATAACAACAATATACTACATGTAGTACACAAGGCCCAGGGCAGAATGCCTGCATCTACACTGCAGAATTAATACACTTTGACACCGCTTTAGCTGCCATGGTTCAATGTTCTGGAAGCCTGTGATTTGTAGTTTGTTGTGGCACCAGACAGAGAAGGCAAAATATCTCATAAAACTAATAATAATAATAATAATAATAATGTTTATTTATAAAGCCCTTTCCACCATAGGGTGGAACATCAAACATATGCAGTATAATTTTAAAAAATGGATGACAAAACACAACTGTGGTCCAAAACACAGCAGAAGTAATATGGTTTGAGACTGCTTTAACTGCCCTGGCTCAATGCTAGGGAATTCTGGGGACTGTAGTTTTGTGAGACATTTAGCCCTCTCTGTCAGAGAGCCCTGGTGCCACAACAAACTACAAATCCCAGCATGCCATAGGATTTGGAATGAAACCATGATAGTTGAAGTGGTGTCAAACTGGATTATTTCTGCAGTCTGTTTTGGACCTATAAAATACTAAAGCTCCAGAATTCCCTAGCATTGACCCTTGGCAGTAAAAGCAGTCTCATGCTGCATTACTTCTACAGTGTAGATGCAGCCCTAGATAAACTGTTATTTCCAATGCCCCCTCATTCTCACTCTCCACCTCCAAAGATATGAATTGTGCTCCAACCACGTGCTTTCAGTTGCAATTTTGCAAACAAGAGGCTCTGCTGGTTTTTCCCCTCTGGTGGAAACCCTTTGGAAATCCCCAAATCAAGCCGGATGCAGAGATGGGGAACTGTCTGACCATTGTGCCTTTCTTCCCCCTCATGCCTTCTTTTCCAAGCTCTAGGACCCAATGCCTGACCCGCTTCCTCTCTTAAGGGCCCCAGGCCTATGTACAAAGAGTGGCAACTTTCAACTTCTTTTTTCCTCCAAGTTTTTCTGAGACTAGCCTTGCCTCTGGCTGCATCTGCACTGCAGAAATAGTCCAGTTTGAGATCGCTTTAACTGCCCTGGTTCAGTGCTAGGGAATCCTGGGAACTGTAGTTAATTGTAGCCCCAGAGCTCTCTGACAAAGAAGGCTCAATGTCTCACAAAACTACAGCTCCCAGAATTCCCTAGCACTGAGCCAGGGCAGTTAAAGCGTTCTCAAACTGGATTATTTCTGCAGTGTGTTTGGACCTTATAGATAGACGTTTGCATGGCAAGCAGCGCGTGATGAAATCCCTCTTCTCTACACAACCCCTTATAGCAGTGATGCTCAAAGTTTGATAACCCCACCCCACCCCCTGTTTATGAAGTTCAGCTCCCAAAATCCCCTAGCTAACATGGTCAACAGTCAGGAATTCTGGGAGCTGAAGACAAAAAGGATCAGAAGGAGCAAAGTTTTGGAACCAGGGCCTTAAAGGATTAAAGGAGCCTTCTCCAGTTTCCAATCTGGCAGGCCCTAAAATGCATCCGTTGTTGTTGTTTTGTGTTTTCAAAAAGTTTCCGACTTATGGCGACCCTATCATAGGGTTTTCCTGGCAAGATTTGTTCAGAGTGGGTTTGCCATTGCCATCCTCTGAGGCTGAGAGAGTGTGACTTGACCTTAGCTGCACAATGGGTTTCATGGTCAAGCAAGGAATCAAACCCTGTTCTCCAGGGTCACAGTCCAATACTCAAACCACTTTGCCACACTGGCTTTACACACAAAGTGCATCTACACTGTAGAAATGATGCGGTTCGACACAGCTTTAAGTCCTGTCGCTCCATCTTAGGGTAACCTGGGACGTGTAGTTTTGCAAGGTCTTTCGCCTTCCCTGCCAAAGCGCTCACAAAACCACAAATCCCAGGATTCTGGAAAACGGAGCCATGGCAGTTAAACCACATTATTTCTACAGTGTAGATGCACCTCTGCTGCTGCTGCTGCTGTGTGCCTTCAAGCCATTTCCGATTTATGGCAACCCTAAGGTAACACTATCATGGGTTTTTCTTGGCAAGATTTCTTTAGAGGAGGTTGGCCATTGCCTCCCCCTGAGGCTGAGAGAGTGTGCTCACGGCAGTTGTTATTGGGTGCCTTCAAGCCATTCCCAAATTATGGCACCCCTAAGGTGGTAAACCTATCATGGGTTTTTCTTGGCAAGGCTTGTTCAGAGTGGGTTTGCCTTTGCCTTCTTCCCCTGAGGCTGAGAGAGTGTGACTTGCCCACACTGAGCTGGGAACCCAACCCTGGTCTCCAGAGTCTTAGGGGGGTTGCAGACTGCCAGAAATAG